GCCAGCTGCGCGGGCTGGAGAATTAGACTACGAATTACAAATACTCCCATTCCAGTGTTCCAATTGTGGTAATGGTAAGAAATGTATACGAATTGATGGACCGAAACATTTCTTATCATTACAAAATATTTTGCAATAAATTTCAAGTTTTATTAATCTCTCAAAACTGCCAGTTTTTTCTTCTAACATTAAAATATTTTTACATTCTACGGTTATTACATGGTTTACAATCTACAATGCCCGTCAATAAAACCTAAAAAAATTAATTTTTAATTGCTCCCCAAAGACTGCTTAAAAGCCTTTTGAAGAAATTTTCATTAATTCCCATTGTTTCATTGCTAATTCGTTGGGAAAGCAGCAAGTAACTTGGTAAAGATAATTTTGCAAAACGATAAACACGGAGTAGTGCTGACTTACATTTTGACTTGCCATTCGTGCCTCCCACTTTTGTCTTACAAGCGCAACACGGTGCGGTGTAAGCGGCTCCAATTTTTGTACCTTAACAATAAAAGTACTGTAAATTCACGCAAAATAATGCAAAAATAGCAAAAAAGGTGTTTTATCAAGCGAAATGTAAAAAATATCAAAAAAAAACCTTATCACTAAATAATGAATTTGCAATCATTTTTTTAACAATTTGAGACCAAGATGGAAACATTGAATGCAATAATATTAATATAAGTTATTTCTCTTTAAGTACTGGCCTTTTACTTGTTCATTTGGCTGCAGTTCTCTCATAATTCTCTCTAATTTGACAGATCTTAATGATGCATTTGATATAAAATATGTAATAAAATAATTCAAAAAAAAAGGGTTTTCACAGGATTATCTGTCTACAGCGATTGGCGAAAGCCTATCAAAATTTGGTGACTAAAATGCGGCAATAACTCCAATATCGGCATAATTATTCGCTGTACTTCAAACTCACTGGATTAAATCATCGCTAAAAGGAGATAAATGGCCAGCGCACCGACTGCCGGTGCGAGGATGCGCTTTTGCATAGTTACCTGCAGTTTTTTTAGCCAACGAGACCGTTTTTCCGGCAGATTTTCTCGCTAGGAGGATTGAAGCTGGCCACCAGGGCTGTCCGAAAACATCCTCTTAAAGTTTCAGCTAGTTTTTCTGGTTCCCGAGTTAACAGTTTACTAGCCAAAAAAATTTGAGAGGCCCGTACATGCATGTAGATTAAATCCCAAAGTTTCAGCCTGCAGCCTTTATAGTAGGTCTCGAGATGAAAAATCGATACAGACGAACACACACACAGACAACCGCTCGACAATATGCCTTTTTGCATTGCGTAGATGCAAAAATGCATAAAAAACAACTGCCATAATTATCAGCAGACTGATCACCTGGCAGTATTTTTCAAAGCAACTGGATGGTTATGAGCTGTGCAGATCATTTATAAATGACCATTAACTGATTCTTGTTTTACACAGTGAATTTATTGACAGATAATTTCTGCGATAAAAGATCTATCAGTTAACGGCGAACTAGTACTTCCACATATCTTACGAGGCAAGTTGAGAAGAATGTTTTCAGATTAAAACATAAAGCAATACCTTTTCGCCACTACTGTTGCTGCTTGTAGTATCTTCATCACCATCCCGTCTTGTTGTCAAAGCGTGAATGTTTTCGATGCTTTTGAAAGTTTTTTTTGAGAGGACTGGTTGTTCGCAGATTTCACGCACCTAAAGTATCAAATATTAAAAAAAAGGTAATCACAAAGGAGTTGTTTTTGTTTATTTTCTTATGAATCCCCTCAGTACTTCACTACGATCTAAAACACCCCTGAACGAAAGCGAACGTTGCCCAGGTCACATGATCAAAGCTTCGGCAATTCCATGTGGTAAGCTACCACCTGAGAGGTGCAAAATTTGGAAGAGATGATGCTCAACATACACCAGAGACGTCTGGAGATACATAAAGGAAATGCTTAAATGCTTCAATCCCTTTAAAAGAGATGAAACGAACATCAGAACTGCTGACAGATTAACCACTAGACAATGTAGCATTTATAAAACTGTCAAAAAAAAAATCACTATTTGCACAGTTGAAAAAAAGCGGACTGTAAAATATAGATGGTCAGGTACATGCACTTTATTGCAGCGCATCGAATGCTAGGATGACAAGCTACTTTGACCACCATCACCACCACCATTACTACTTTTTGACCATCACCACCTACTTTGACCACCATCACCACTTGACCACCACCACCATCACTACTTCTCTCAAAAAAATCAAGAATAATTGGCCAACACACAGGCTGCCCGTGCGAAGTTGCGTTTTTTGCATACTTCT